GGACGGCCCCCAAGTACTCACCCACGACGATGAGCCGGTCCTCGACCAGGGACGTGGAGAAGGACGGTGCGTCCGCCGACACCTCGCACGCATAGCGGCCCTCCGCGGACATGTTCACCTTGTGCAGCGTCACGTGCCACCTGCTTGAGCGCTCCCTCTGCAATTCAAGCAAAAGTCGAAGAAATATGTATCAAACAAAAACATCTGAGATCCTCTCTGAGTAAAAGAGACCTGGGGGGAGAAAAACCGTCTGATTTGGTTGATTTATAAATGAACACTACGGAACCAGTGATTTAACGACTTCACTGTTTTTCAAAGAATATGAAGTCACATTCGTTTCATTGTGAATCGTGTCACATTCGTTTTAACGTTAATCAGCTAATCAGGGGGCATTGAGGCATAGATTCACACTGAAAAGAATGTGACACAAAATTCCAACGAATGTGACTTGATTTACATTGAAACGAATGTGACGTCACGTTCCTTGAATAACAGTGTTATCGACATAGTTTGTAGGCAATTTAATTCCAAAGCCAATTCTATTGAAAAAAATAAAATAAAAAAAGTAATACAGAGCGCGAGAAATTTCCGTTTCTTTCTTGCGGTCTTCTTTTTTTTGTTGTTGCGATAGTACGTCTATTTTACGATAATGTGGTGCCTCTGCAGATGTAGAGTGGATGGGATGTGCAAGCCGCCAGCCGCCACTGTTGTCGCAGTGTTCCTGGTATCCATGCCTATCTCACACCCCAAAACAAAATGCTGGATTTTGATGAGATTCCATATGCATCCTCCCCGCCCGCCTCACCTTCAACACCGCTACCTCTCGTTCCGCGTCCCGCGCGCGGCGAAACACAAACGAAACGGAACGCAACAAATCGTGGGGTGCGAAAAATAATAAAAATAAAAATACATACAGAAGGGGGGAAAAAAAGCGCGGCACGAGCAATCCGACAGACAGCTAACAAAGGCTAACATACTGCCTTTCAGCGCGGCGGCGGCGGCCCGGGCGCCAGCATTGAAGTATGGCTCCACTCATCCCTGCGGAGGGATTGACCCCGCCGGCCGGCACCATCACGCCCCGGGGAATTAGTTTACCTGAGCTTTCCCTTCCCCCGCCCCTAGCAAACGCTAAAAACTGATCAAACATTGTGGGCGAGTGCATTTACTTTACATTCTGGTAAGTTAGGTGGGCATGGGCGGGCAGCGGAGGTTGATAGCATTGGCATCCACATCCTATCAATGTCAATAAGAGATTGAAAAAAAAACAAAAAACTCATAAGCGTCCCTGTAGGGATTTAGCACCTTGTTAAAGTATCTCCGTAACATTATCCGCACTCCTCAAAAAACGAAGTTCTTGAGCCAAGTAAATATCCTTGGAGCAAGTCAATTTTCCAGCACGGGTCTTGGAAAATGACTTGTTGCAAGGTTATTTAATTGGTTCAAGAATCTTGTTTTTTGGCTGCGTAACAACACATGTAACACAGGTGCTGAAATTTACACCCAAAAAACACACTGTACTTAATCCATGATTTTTCAAGTACATATTACTTAAAATCAAGACATGTGTGTACCTGAAAAATCACGGACCAAGTTCAATGCACTTGATCCAAGAATTCAGGTTTTGGGGCGAACGACTGAAAGAAAGAATGTTAATGAAAAGTGTGCTTACATCAACGTTGATGCCTTTGAGGCCGAAGACTTTGAAGGGCGCCTCGCCCTCGCCCGGCGTGTAGCGGAAGAACTCGTCCTGGCCCTTGTACCACTTGAGCTGGTACAGCCGTTCGCCCTCCAAGTCGTACTCGCACTTCAGCGTGGCGTCCTCGCCGCGCCTCACGGCCTTGGGGATCACCACGTGCACGTCCTTGAGCGGGGCGACCGCGCCTGCGAGAAGGAGAGAAAGGGCGTCAGTCAGAGCACAAAAGGACGGATCATTTCAGGATGGTCAGTATCACTCACACCAGAGAAATAAGAGAGCGGCGGGGAGAAAGAGCAGAGAGAGAGAGGCCGCAGAGAGGGAGAGCAAAGATAGAGAAAGAGATGCCGGGCGCACGCCTCACCGCACCGCCGCCTGAAAATGTTTGCCTTTTCCACACCGCTCCGCCCGCTCCGCCTCCCCGTTCCATATCCCCGTTTTCTTTACATCTTCTCCCTCAGCCTTTTACACCCCGCACGACTTTGCCCTTTGCTGTCTTCTCACCCCTTTGGCGCACCTGGCGGAGTGCTTCCGTCTAACTCTTGCTGCTGCTCGGCCTGGAGGTGTAGCGCTCGCGCAGCGCTGCCCCCCCCCCCCCCCCAGCCCTACCCCGCGGGGCCCGGCCCGGCGGGGGCATCCCCTTGTTTATCGAGCTAATATCGAGGCGTAACGGATACATTTTATGCGTCGCGGTGCCTGCGCGTGTGCGTGAAAGAGAGGAAAGGAAGGGTATATATGTTTAGGGCACAACTAAAATAAATAATGTAAAACAGGACGGATCTCAAGAATGTTAATCACTCCCCCCCCCCCCCCGCGCCTTGATATTGTTATTAAGACAAGCTAAGCAGCTTGAACTAATGGTTAATTTAATAATTTTTTAAGACTGCAGAAATGCTTCGGAAAAAGCAGCGCTGACAGGTGCTGGACCCAGTGTAGCACGGTGGGAGCTCTTCTCGCTCCGGCTGGCGGGGGCGGACGGAGCGCCGGCGGCGAAGGAAGCAACTTTTGCGTGCAAAACGCTCCCTAAGACAAGACGGCAAGCGGACCGAAAAATGAAGGCTAACTTGCCCGAGCGTTCGTTTGGCCGTGCGTTGGCGGGGGAAAGTGGCGCCGCTGCAGTCGGCATCACTTCTCATGAAACGACGATTATTACCCAACCCAACCAGGACGCTGTTTTTAATATTGCTGTGTGTTGTAAGAGGGACGGCGAAGAAGAAGAAGAGCCAGGAGGCTTCACGGCCGCTTCAGCCGCGAGAAATTGGGGCAGAGAGAGAAGAGGTAACACATGGAGAAAAACAAAAATGTAGTAAAAATAAAACAACATGCGAATGTGTTTCCTTTTTTTTTGCTGTGGGTAGGGAGGCACGGTAAGCACGAAAAGGAAAGGGTTAAAGAAACGTGAACGGTATAATACAGAACAAGTTGGTGTGCTGCTCGCCATAACACTAACCCGGGCTGTAGGCCACACAGCACCTTCGAGGCCTAAAGTGAAATACATGTTACTACTCTGGGCCGTGGCGTGTGCATGCGTGCGGCTGTGCGAACGGTAGATTCGCTATCAGAGCCGCCAAGCTAGATGGCTGGCAGGCTGATGATAAAACGGGTACTACATGTTTGTTGTCGTCAAAGGAAACTGCAAAGGACATGAGAGCATTATCATGAACGTGTTTGGCATAAGAAATGCTCTCTCGCTCGTAAGCGCACGAGTGTGAGTGTGTGTGTGTTTCGCACCAGACTGTACACCGCTACATACCACCCCCACATGCGAGAGAAGCGAGAAAGGGGGGGGGGGGCAACAAGGGCGGAGGCCGCCGCAGTAGCGGCGTTCTTCATGTGTTACGCGGTAAATTAGCGCTATATGGTTGGTAACAGTGTGCGCGCGTGGCGCAGGCCTCTCCCTTTCCCCTACCTCCTCTCTCTCTCTCTCTCTCTCTCTCTCTCTCTCTCACACACACACACTCGGGGGGCGCAGCACCGCCGCGTGCTGTGCTACGGCGCTTTTTGGCTATTTAGTGTTGCGATGAAATTATTACCCCCACCAGAAGCAGCCCGTCCCGACCGCCAACGTCGCCGGCGCTTTGCTACTACGGGAGCACAGCTGTGCGGAGCGCCCCTATGCCACACCGCTGCTGGACGCGTCTAACAAACTCAAGTGTGGGACAGTCTCACACTTTCCCGTGTGGAATGGATCCGGATAAAAATCAGATAAATTTGGTGTTTTCAGAACACCAAATGGATACTAAATGTACACGATATATACACCATAAATATACACCATATATACCCCAAATATACCCCAAATGCATTTGGTGTAGATATGGTGTACTTTCGTTCTTTTTATGGTGGTAAAAGTGGTCGTTTTAACACCATAAATACACCATATTTATCCCAAAGGCTGAAGCGTCCGAAAAGGTGAAAACAACAGCGCCGGCGACGCCGGCGGACCGAGACGAACCACCGACCTCTCGACTGAGAGGCTGGCCCCATATCCACTCGGCCACGGTGAACACATGGAGGGGGACCGTCGGCTGTCGCACTTCAGCGCGCTGCAGCGAGTTGGTGCCTTCGGATAAATATGGTGTATTTTTGGTGGCGAGGTGGCCCGCTGCAGCGCGCTGAAGTG